ATTCACGACGAATGTCTCGGGAATGAATGCCTCTCAACATTGCCTTCATCACACGAGTAAACTCGCATTGAGGTTACTTGCGAGAGAGGTCGTTTCCATAGATGATCATTGTGCAAGAATGAGGATAAAGGAGACTTCTATTTCTCGCTCCCTCTCTCTTTCACACACGATTAACCTGTAACTATCAGAACTCGGATGCTATTATTTTTAACTATGTTACATCTCTTCATTCCCAAAGGATCTATTCAAAATACTTTGCCTAATTAATATCATGTCTTCATGAAAATACTCATTCGGGTATCGGACTTTCCAAGTATACGGCGCAGCCAACACAAATGGTTAAATTGTTGCATTAGGATCCATTGTACCCTGAACGGTAGTTACAGGGTTAATGATCGTCTATTGGAACGATCTATTGAAACGATTGGAACTTCCTTGTGAAGATATCCGCATGCTGAAACCCACCCTAGGATGTGAACATCTTTTCTTGCACTGATTTGTTCAGTGTTTACAATAGCGGGTAAGCATTTCTTTTATGAGATGCCCACGTGGACTTGCCACCTCTCTATTAGATCAAAAACTCCCATCATTTTCGCAGCCTTTTGCAGAAAATTTACCTTTATAAATTTTGGGAATTTGCAGCCAATGTGGCCATTAATAGGAACGCATTGTGAAGTCCGAGTCTAGGGCAGAGGCGAAGCCATGGTCTCACTTTTTTTTGCGGATGGGGAGGAGGGGGAGAGGGCAGTCATAAGGGGAACCTGCTGCACCAGTGAAAATCACGGACAGGTGTTGGAGACAGCGGACTTCTTCTATTGTAAGCCAATTGGTCCATCATTTCCTAAAACAGGTTGAATTTCTCACTCTTTCAGCCAACACTGAAGGAATGCATGCAACTTCGCAAGAGGTGGTTGTGATCAGATGCATGTGTCTAACATATTCTGCCTCGCTTTTATTCCTGTTGAGGGGTTAGAGAAGCTGATGGGGGGGGGCCTCAGCCCCCCCCCCCCCCCCAAGGGTACACCATTGGTTGTTTGTCTGCCCTCTAGTAGAATAGCACTAGGCTATCCTTATATAAGGTTTGGGTTCTGAGCTGGAGTTTCCATTGATTTTCTTCGCCCTGTAATTTCTATATTTTGCAATCGACGAATGAGGTACGGAATTTATTTCACATTTAAATGAAGTCGGACGAGAATCATTTCATTAAGCCGATCATAATTTATTCAAATCAGTTTGCTCCATTATTGATGACCATACATTTGTATCCACATTCTTCCAGCATAGCCAAAATGGATAAAACATATATTCATATTTATTAATTACAAACAAAAAATGTTTCGGTGTAATCGACTGATAACTACTTCAGACTTTGAGAGCTTTAAGTCTTCTCCCAATTCTTTCAATCTGATTGCACCTTTTTTCATGAAATACACATCAATTGTCAATATTCCCTCAAAATCATCCACAGGAAACTCAAACCCATTCGTGGTTATCTACAGTAGAACAGGAAAGCAAAAAAGCCAACTGCTTCCCTTTCGGGGCCAACCCAATTATATTCCTCTTTTCATCTATCATAATCTTTTTCTTATCTGTCCACCAGATGAAAGTCTATTTCCCTTATTTTAGGATGGTGGAGTGTGAAATTATATTTTCAGATTAACCTAGAAAGTCGGCAGGGAATTCACCAGCAATTACGCGTGCCTGGATTCATTAATTCATCCCAATGTGTGCACGTACTGCATACCAATTCTTTGAAGTCTTTCGCGTGCTATCAGGCAAAAAGTCCCCCCCCCCCTTTAGAAGATAAGAACTGACGTCTACGTGACACGAGTCAAGAGGAAATCTGTGGCAGCAAATTTGAAATCGAATATGGGAATAGAGTCGATCCTTGCCGAGGCTCTTCCTATTCTTCTTTCGACTCCTTTCTTTTCCTTCCCTCTCTTATTCCTTTCTTCATTTTAATATCTTTCCATCTGATACTTAATACAGTAAGAGGCATGCTGCTCCCAAGGGGGGGGGGCGTTTTGAATTTCAGAGACAGAATGGCAGCGGCATTCAATCCGGGATAATGAATCCCGGATTGACGTCAGATTCGATCAGTCCATCTCCTCTCACCACCTCCATATCATGAAAAAGTGCGTAGGAAGAGACAAAAGAGCCTGCGGGGTACGAGAACCACAGGGTGGCCACAAGTCTCGATGTGCCCGCAACAAACGTCCTTTCGCATTCCCGGGTACAGCTGAGCGCGATCACGAGAGACATTACTTTTGAAGAACGTCTGCTAGCAGTGGCATGATTTCCAAGAAAGTAAATTATTTTAATAAGAAAGATTGCAGAAACCTGTTCCGACAAAGGCGAATCTCATCATCTCGGCACACCAATTTCGGATGGTCGCCTTTGAAATGACTTTAGAATTATCATAACGTCCATGCATTCATCGCCTTTATGTATTCCGATCTTGTTTCGGGTCCTCCTGAACTCTAGGGAAAATCCTCGAGAGAAAATCTAGTTTCTTCTCCGTGTCTTCTGCCTTTTTCACTTTGATGAGATTCGCCTTCGTCGGTGCAGGTTTATGATACATGTTGAAATATATAATGTTGAAATAAAAATATATGTTGAAAATCTTTTGTATTATTGTCCCAAGTTTTGTCGGTACTGCCTCTCTCGTGCGCTCAAGTCACTGTCAGCAGACGTTTTCCGATTCGATAAGGGCTCATCATTATCTACAACTGCACCTGGAAATATTAAAGAGTATACAAGGTGCGGCAAAAGTCAGGAATAATCGGATTAAAGTGCAAGGATTACTTCCTGTCTAGGCTCTTTTGAGTTCGCCTGCCTACCTGATGAGAAATTGTCAATTTGGGTCTGCGGGTTGATGAATCATGATATATTTTCAATATGTCCAAGAAATACATGCATCTATCAATCTATACTATATTTCCGAATGCTTGTGTGACTGCCTGTCTGTCCTTTATGCACGGCCATACCTCTGATCCCTGTCTGACAAAACTTTGCACGGCTTCCTCATTTGGTCCGGGGATGGTCATAGGCTAGGTGGCGTTTCAAAATTCGGACGCTCCGGGGTACCTTATTTAGTACATATTTAGTACTTATTTGGCCGATTCACTACTACAGATACCCCCCCCCCCCCAAGGAGTCAGTGGGTCATTACAAAGTTGTAGAGGGACCCATGTTACAAAACAAAATTTCCGTTGCACCTCGCAGCGCAGCGAGTGCAATCATATAACAAGGATTTAACAACAGCGATTCGTTTGGGTGTTGCAATGCATCATTCCTTCCGCATCCGCTTCCGGGGATTTAACGCGGTTACTCTCCGGCTAGGTGGCGTTTCAAAATGCTGACCCCCCCCCCCCAGGGGGTTCCATGTCAAAACATCGACGCCAAAACATCGAAACGACAAAACATCGACGAGACGAAACATCGACGAGACGAAACATCGACGAGACGAAACATCGACGAGACGAAACATCGACGAAATTAAACGTCGGTATGCCAATTTATTTTTCTCGGATTTTCTATTCGAGATTGCAGTGTTACATAACTTCCTTGGGCCTTCCTGCGATCATCTGTCAATACAGGATGACCGATGAAAGACAGGTTGAAGATGACATTGTGGCTTCAGCAAGCATCTTGGAGCTATTCATTCGCCTATAATGTACAGTAAATTAGGTCAGTTGCAGTTTGTTTCTCATCAAAGACGGTTGAAATAAAAAAGCATTTGGCCAGATTTCGTAGGTCACAGGATATACATGATTCTATATGGTACAGCTGAGATTTTGGAATGAAGAGAGAAATGTGAAGTCTTTTAATGGAAGTACCGAACTTTTTACATTTTATTGATACGTACACATTCAATTAAAATGAATTCAAACAACATCAAGAGAAACGAAATGAATAGAAAAAAGAATTGGAATAAGGTATCACATTTTGTAAACGATGAGAACAGATGAACATTTGAAAAGAGGGGCCTGTCATTGTACGGTACACGTAGCAGATCAGCAATACACCTGAAGATAGAAATTATGTGCGATCCTTCGTAAATACTCTTTCAATAGTCGCTGCGAATAATCCAAAACAATAGAGTTTATTCGAGAGAGTATTGACGATTCATTTTGCGGCTCGGAGGGAGATCTTGTCATGCAATATACTGTTCCATCCTTAGTTCATTCAGGCTCTGTTCATTCTTGAGACAATCAATAAACTTCCATATAGGAGGATAATTAGCCGCAAGATGCTTGCTGAAGCCAAGATGCCTTCCTCAAGTTATCTTCCATCGGTCATCCTGGATTGATAGACGATCGCAGCAAGGCTTTTGGGAAGTTATGTAATATTAGCGGTCTCAAAAAAAAAAAATCAGAGAAAAATAAATTGGTATGTCGACGCTTCATTTCGTCGATGTTTTGTCGTCGATGTTCTGACGTGATACCCCCCCCAGGGCAGGGCCAAGACCAAATGGCACCCCAGGCGTCTTCCTGCCCCAGGCGGTCGCCTGGGTCGCCTGCCCCTAAGTCCGGCCCTGCCCTGGGGTACCATATTCACTGCAGACAAATATGGGACCTATACAATATTCACCCGTGCAACGCCTGGTACCTCTGCTAGTTTCTTGTAATCGTGACCTTGGGTGAAGCCGCAAACAGAAAAATCTGTAAAAACACCATCGTAGCTTCCAGAAATCAGCTAGTTAAAATAACATTGGCATTATAGCGCCATATCAGGTATGCAAGTGCAGTTGCAACGAGTCCATGCAGAAATAATCCAAGCACTAATCCTGATTCCTAACATTTGTCATACCCTGTAGAGTCTGCTGGGACTTTGAGGCCACCCTGTAGTTGATTTTCGAATCCAAGAGACTCTAGGTGCCTCATGGTCGTTCTGATTTGAACCCGTAATGATAGCAGTTTTGGGCTATGCGAAAACAGTTCCGGTGATTTTGCGGTCACGTAACGCCTCGATGGGACCCCAATGCTAAACATGCCATGCTACACTTCATCATCATCATCTGCACCATCCCGAAGAGAGAAGATCCTCGTCAACAGGAAGCTATCTTCTTGGATTGCTTCGTCTCGTCTTTGTGGTCGCGTTACTTGTCGCAAAGAAACTAGTCGTTTCCTGTTACGGATCACAAACCCAAACAGGAAAAGCAAAAACGAATCCGGTCGTGGCACCATAACTGAGTTGGGAATATCAAAATGCTCTTTATGCGGCAAAGATCCTCAGCCCATGCTACGCGAGGAAGGGTAGTGCCTATTATTGCTAAATAAATAATAATAATAATAATAATAATAAACAGATCCCTTTGCAAGAATACAACCTAAAACTTGAAACAGGACTGTTTTAAGTCGATTTTGATTCGAGAATTTCTGTAGCTTTTTTGGGGAATAGTCGACGTGAGTCTAATGCAACGCATGACACTTCGCATGAATATATACTTCATATGTATGCATGTATATAAATATGCAGCTGTCAAGTGTCACATTGATATTATCATAGAGCCTCTCGCTTCGCCAGAACTCGCTGGTTTGATATGCTTAATGGGTAGATAACGGCACAATAAGAGGAGTAGCGAGTGGTCACACGATCCTGATATTAAGGATAGCTCATCGATCGGCGTAGCAATTCTATCCCAGTGGCGTCAATATAGGGAATGCCGAAATGTGAAGGACGCAGGAATGCAGGGCGGGCTAAGGCTTATTAGGAACGTGATTGCTCTAGCCCCAGCAGAGATTGGAACCCCCAAGGAAAACCCTATTATTGATATTACCTCCTCCTTTTTTTCCCTTTTCTTCATCCTTACGCTCCTTCTCGAGTATACGCACCCCCGCACGGTATAGTGACAATTGGCAATGTTTTTTTTATTCCTCCTCCATCGATGCGATTGCATCTCCTCCCTCTCTTACTTGAACGCCTTGACCGAAGGGAGACTCACCGATGCATCATGAAGGAGAAGTTGAAGGCGCAGTTGAGGACCGAGAGCATCATGTCGGCGACGCTGAGATTCACGATGAAATAATTCGTCACTGTCTTCATTCGAGGATGAGCTGCGAAGAAACGATGAGGCACAAAAGTATGAGGATAGTGGATACCAATCACAGATAAAGGACTCCAATAAACATGGAAGGCTCGCATCCCTACCGTGCAATATCGTCATCTGTTTCTCATTTACCCGGATCGAGAAAGAAATGAGAGGTAATTCGTTAGTCCCTACTATCCTATCACATTTCATTTGAGTCTACTCCGTTGCTCGCTCTTCCAAGGCGCACTTTCTTGGTGAAGCCGAGGGAAGCTCGATAGGAAGGGATGGATCCGATATGATTACATTTACTTCTCTCGCCCGATTCTCTCTTTTGATCCCATTTCATCGAGCCTGGGCGTCGATTGAACCCATTCGGCCCCTTGAGCCTCGATGGACCAAAAACCAACAAGTCAACAATTTCAACGACGAAAAGCTTACTTTTAGTTCCATGGGCAAGCGGACGATAAATTGAGACTGATGAGAATAAACTTGAACGGAAAAACACTGAAGAATGCTGGATCTTACCATTTTTCACATTTCAGACTATCACACGCCGAAAACCGATAGTAGGAGAGAGGCAGATCTGTATAACAGAGAACTGTTATACAGATCCCTGGTGCGAATTATCATGCATATGAGTGCTTAAAATGTGACAGATGGGTGAGGTCCGGCATTCTTGTGGAGGTGCTGATTGTCGCGAGATAGCTTCAAGATAATCCAATGAAATGATGCGATTCATTAATGGGAGATCCCAATGATCCCATCCATATTCCTCAGTTGAACAGATCTAATAGACAACATATCAATAAATTAACGTACGGCCTTGATACCATCTCGTGCTACTGATACATTTAGAATGGAAAAGCTACTCGTAACGTGCATTCCTGTTTGTGTGCCCCGTCTTGCATTCTTTTCCATCCTAGATTCAAGAGAGCAGGACAAGGGACGAATGACAGGGAGGAAGAGAGAGGAAAATATGCACAGCCTGGAATGCGGGTACACCCAACTCTCTCCAAAGTCGAACGGGTGTAAAACCTTTCCAAGGAGTCGTGTTACATACAGTACTGTAGAATCTGAGGGCTTCAGCATGTTAGCCCTGGAGAGCGAAGAATCGAGATCAGGAATGGGTCGTTCGGAATGAATTGTAGGACGGTTATTGAAAAAACGGTTGGGGGGAAGAGGGCTTTCCACGGGAGGATCTGTAATGCCACGAACAAGCTCTGCTCTCATTCTCGCAGTCGCAGGTGTCGATTTCGTGGTTCGATCAAGAAGGCAGCTGTGAGCCTCACCGAGTAACGTACGGCTCTAATGGGAGTTTATCTTATTTTTTGCCTACATGATTGCTAGCTGTATCCATGCCTCGTTGGGTTCGTGGCCATAATGACTTGCGAGAATTTCAGGAGAAACGCAAACTCTAGATTTTTTCCTTGTGTTACCTCAGCGTCGCCCTGCACATACCCATGAATGAAGTCGGATGAAATTAGACACACAACTGGAGAAATCCATACTTTTGCTTCTGATTCCCAGATCAATTGCTAGAAGGGAAAAAGTCGAAAATCAAACGTATCAACCGGGAACGGAATATGCCCCTCAAAATAACGCAATTCGTCATCTTCTCCCTTTCCTTTCCTTCTCTCCGTTTTCTCCTTTTCAATACATTCTATCTCATCTGACTTGGAAATGAACCTCCTGCTCCTCCTCTTGCATTTTCCCCCTTCCTTTACCACAAGGTGGTTCCACCTTCACTCCCTTTCTTCTTTTCACCCTCTTTATCGTCTATCTTCCTACTCTTCTTTACTTTGTTTCCTCACTCTCCCTCGGATGAATACTGTAAAGTCCGAGCGGGAAGATGATCGGATCCCGACGTGGCCAACGACGATATCAGAATTCCCTTTAATGCTCTTACGCCTTCTGGGAGCCGCATCACTTGTCACATCCCATTCTGGTCATTCCCTGACGTGCATATACGACTAGGTATATGAGAACACATCCTGAGAAGAATCTCATATCCCTTCCCACACCCGTGATTGGATTTTCTCACTCGGCTGTCGGAGATCAGCCTACCTCGATCGATTCCGAATCCAGACGAAACAGATTGAATTCGCATCGTAAGGAAATCTACGATACGACAGAGATGATGAACGAAGGGCGATATTTCGAGAGTCCTGAAAACGATTGGCTTTTCTGACAGGCCTCTAATTGGATGGCCACTATAGGAAATGGAGATGCATCTCCTCTTTGTCTCTGTCTGTCTGTCTGTCTGTCTGTCTCTCTCTCTCCCTCCCTCCCTCCCTCCCTCCCTCTCTCTCTCTCTCCCTCCCTTCCTCCCTTCCTCCCTCCCTCCCTCCCTCCCTCCCTCTCTCTCTCTCTCTCCCTTCCTCCCTCCCTCCCTCTCTCTCTCTCTCCCTTCCTCCCTCCCTCTCTCTCTCTCTCTCTCTACCCCCCCCTCTCTCTCCCTCTCTCTAATGTGATAGACGTATGAAGAAGGATGGGGGAAGAGGATCGATTGAAATCTCGTGCTCGCCTGATGACGTGTGGCTCTCTTATCTGACATACCTTCCTTTTCCATTTCTTGCGGCATATATAGTCCTGTCCGCTATAAACAAGACGGCAGGGAAAATCTGGATTGCGTGATCCCTGGGGTCCGATTTCCCTTTCTGGTAATCATTTTGGATCCATGCCAGTCCCTCCCCCGTGGGTTCGTAATTATTAACCTCCAGATATCAATGGAAAAGGGAAAGGCGTTCGCCGCCCTGTACAGAGGCGGAATGTGCCCCCTTTTTTTTTTTAGATCGACAAGGCTTCTCACGCCATCACGAAGCGAATCATGGAATGTTCCAGGTCTCGAATGAAAGAAAGCATTAGGGACTAACTTGAAAGAGGCGAACAGATCTTAATAAGAGATAATGAACAACTTGGAGGAAAAGTTTGCGCATTTCTACAGAAGACTCCGCATCAGGCAGAGAAAATATTATAATTAAATGAAGCACCTCAGCAAAAGACGCACAAGAAGAACTTGGACACTCCTCCTTACCTTCTCCCCTCTTCCGCTCCTTCCCAAGAGGGCAAGGCGGAGAGAAAGAGCTATAATGGAGACGAGATTGTTTTTCCATGCTCTGGCGCACTTGTTCTGTTATCGATGGGACACCAGAGGGTTTCTCCGATCGGACAGTCCATTTCAGGGGGAACTCCTTCGATACCTGAATTTAACGCTCCTTTATTCCCTTCTTTTGTCTCGTTTCTTTTTCTTTTAGCTCCTTCTTTCGTTTCTAGCGGGAACCTAATCTCCAGGCCGAGTGTCTTCATCCTTGTCAATATTTCCTTTCTTCTTTCCTCCCTCGTTCTCTTCGCTCTCTTTTCCCCCTTTTCCTGCGGGGTAATAAATTGTGGAACGTGGCGGTTTCTCTCAAATGCCTCTTCCTTGGAGGAAACAGATTAGCTCGTCTCCAATAGGCAGAATGCCAAAGCCCTTCGTTCTTCCTTTCCTATGCAATCATTATGCATGGATAATGTAGTTGGCAAGCTTGCGAACCCTCTCATTAAGAGACGGAAAAGTAATTTAATGCCGACATATGTGGTGTAAGCATTTGTTCTTCGTTTGTAGATGAATTTTCCGCGTGGGAAGCAGCTTCTCTTGACTCTCAGCTGCAACTGGCATTCGTTGATACACGCTTAAAAGGCTGAATCTCCCTCCTTTCCTCCTCTTTCCTTCCCTCCCATTCATTCCATCAGAATAGAAATGCAAAGGGAAACCTTTCCAGACTACCTCCTCTTGGATTTTCTGGATTCCGCATATATACAGTCAACTCTCAATAACTCGGAAGTTCAAGGGGAATTCCAGTTAACGAAAATTCGAGTTATGGAAGTTTATTAGATTATAAACGCTACAACATCGCACATACATAAATGCAGTATTAAAAAACGTGTAATACCTATTTATTTTAGCATAATCACTTGAAAAAGTCAGTCAGGAGAGTTAGGCGTTTTTCGGCATTACCTTCACGATTGACGATGCTTTCTACAAGGTGGGCTACGAAATGATGACGGTTTTTCTTTGTTATGTGTTGACTCACAGTGAAGACAACCGTATATATTGCGACTGGGAGCTTCAATAGGATCAGCGAAAACTGCTGAGTTCATGTTTGGACATGAAGGGTAAGGAACAAAACGATAATAAAAGTGCAAGATTGTGTTCCTGCTTGGAGCCCATCTTGTCACAAGAAATGCTTTGAAGCGTCTTCGCGAAATAGTCACATTTTCTTCTTCACGTACAACAGCACAATTTTGTTCTTTTGCTGCAATGTCAGACGTTCCTAACCCTTCATGTCCAAACATACACTCGACGGTTTTCCAGATCCTATTGTAGCTCCCAGTCACAGGTTATGCGGCTGTCTTCACTGTGAGGCAACATATAACACAAGCAAAACCGTCATCGTTTCGTGGTCCACTCCATAAACGCGCGATTGCGTCCAAAGTCTCTTGTGCCAAACCAGATACGACCTCAACAAATCTCCGAAAAATGTAAACCGCATTATATTTTACACATGGTTGACGGCGAGGCTCACAGACACTGGTCGGCAACCGGGTGCAGTACAGAAAAGGTGGAAACGCAAAGTCCTCGCAGCCGTGATTTTCCCGTCCGATCAGAGTGGATACCGACGACGTGAATCATTGCATGTTCGGGAAAACCGGGTGTGCAGGAAGTGTGGTTAGATTGATGTAAAGTACGTCAGTGCTCTTATACAGGAAAAAATAGAAAAAGTAGAGCAATAAATTTCGAGTTATAGAGAAATTTGTTTGTGCGCAGTTCCAGTTACTGAGGGAATAATGCATTGTCCTTACGAGGCTTTCACAGGGAAAGGCAGTTACTTCGAGTAAGAGAGAAATTCGAGTTGAAGAGGTTCGAGTTATCGAGAATTGACTGTATATGAAAACGGTTACTACACGATGGGTAAATGCAGCCATAAGTTCATCCATCTCCAAATCTCGTCACAATGGAAAACAAAAATTAACCCTGAAAATGGGAGAAGAGTGCAGACTCTGACTGACCGAGGACGGTCCACATGACGAGAGCGTTCCCGGCGATGGCGACGGTCAACATGGCTCCGAAGAGAGAACTCCACAGAACTTGTTGATATAGAGGTAAAGAGAAAGGTTCTTTGGGGAGACCCCTTATCTCCGATAAAGGGGCGCAGAATATCGTGGATCCGTTATCCAGTCGATGCCACACCTTCACCGATTCGCTTCTACCCCTACCACCACCGTGAAAACTTCCCTCATCCTGGAAGGAGGTATCGTTGGCAGCCTCGGCCAGGAGCTCCAGCAAGGTGGCATTACTGAAATACAACGTCCCACGGGGGCAAAGATCCGACATTATATTTCGCTTTCCTCCTCCTCCTGCAAATAAGAAAAGAAACAACGGTAAGTCGGAAACGAGTCTTGCATGCACTGAAAAAAACTTGACTCCAAAGCTACTGCCTAGGTAAATTGCCCTCTCACATTATTATCGGAAGATTATCATCATGGTAATCATCACAATATGTGTATTGTGCATCCATACGATGACGTATATCGAGACGGTTGATGAATGCGGTCAAAGGAATCTGCAGCAGATTCTGGAGACTCCCGTCATCGACAGATGGCAGTGAATTCCCCGTAACCCTCAATGCCAAAGGAAGTTTTGTGCAGGTAAGGCTTTCCAAATGGCACTGCTGTTTTCTAAAGATCATCAGTGCCGTTTACACTGGGCCCTAAGTCGAGCTATAATTGGCATTCACTATCTTTGAATATCATCATTATTGAAGAAACTGTGACAATCGTACGATGATATTATAGACGGGACGTATCATCCCCACATCGTGAGAATGGCTTCCGCACCTCCAGCTTCCCTAGTCTATTTCTCGTGTCTCCACCCCTGTTCGTTCGTTCACTATGTGAGTTCGTACATGACCTCATTCCCGCTGGAGACATCGGATCGTACGCAATAAGGGAGATTCAGGTCCAACCATGGAGATTAAGTTCCATGCTGAAAGTCAACTACTAACTCCCGATATCGTGGGAGAAAGTCAGGGGCAGATGCAACCACATGCAAGAGAATAGCTTTATTTTCGTGACGGACTTGATGAGTTGAAGATATGATGAGGGTTGTTAACCAATAAAGAGCTCCTGCTAACGGAGACAATAATAAAAGGGGGGGGGGGGGGAATCAATTCCACGCTATGCATCTCGTGTGCAAGCGACACTCTTAGAAGGAAGCTAGCGCTAACTCCTGTTTTCCTTTTCTCTCTTTTTTATTTTGGTGGAGCGAAAAGAAGTAAAAATTTGAATAATTTTCCTCTCGTTTCTCTCTTCTCAGAGTAAAAAGGGAGGAAAAACGAAGTTAGCTCTTGCTTGCTTTCGGGAGTGTATGAAGGAGCCTTAAAAAATCGACATTTTCCGTGCTTCTCTAACCTATGAATTAATTAAATTTTACGTAATCTCTTTCCTAAGTTTATTGCTGAGCTGAAACCTTTATTCGCTTCCAGTTTCATTAGCCTGATATTAAAGCAAGATAAGCAAAGTTCTTGTAGAGAGCATCCCGATGGTAGCAAGATCAGAACGTGTATACAGAAACGGACCACTCTTCGATTTATTTTTACTTACGATGGAACTCAAATGGAATCAAGATCCATCATGGCGCTCCTTTCTCTATTTATTTTTTTTTTTTTAACTAAGATGGAAGGAACGGAGGATAGACGGAATTTCCATCCAAATAGAATATAAATCGAATTTCGAAGGGTAAGAAGAACAAGATCCAATTAAGATGTGAATGTTGACAGGCAACTTCGGTGGCACCATACGAATGAGCCAAAACCATAGCATTTATAAACGCTGCTATTATTTTGCTCGAGTTGAAAGGAAGAGAGATTAAATATTTATGCGACTTTCATGCATGCCTGGGTCCCGGAGCAGAGACGACGAAGGCAAACATTGCTAAAGGTTTTTCCTTTCTGTTTGCGATGCGAACGTCATATGCAATATATCCTAATTGTTGCCAGAAAATATCAAAGACCTAGAATAAAAGAGTAATCACGAATTGAGCGGGAAAAGTTTGATCTGTTAGCGAACTAATCAGAACTCCCTCCACTCGCTCCAGGCCCATTACATCCTATGCACACAGCTTTTCCAAGAATCCACCTCCAAGAATATCCGCGAGCACTGAGCAAAGAGTGAGACATGTAACATTTCATAGATGATCGTTGTCCCTCCACAAGAAGCACCAATCATGATCCCTCCACACAGTTTTCTTTATCTCTGTTCCCCTCACTATTTTAACTCTCTTTCCACTCACTTTCCACTCCCCTCACCCGTTTCTCTCTCTCCATTCCCCTCAGTGCCTCTCCCTCTCTCCGACCTACTCGACGCATCTCCGTTATTTCATTTCTCCGGTATATGGCAGCATTTCTCACTTTTCTCATTCCCAGTCCCATCGAACCCGATCCCTACATTCATCAAATCCAATAGTTAAGAAATAGTTATAAATAACCCAGGCGCGCGACTCGAAAGAGACAAATACGGGAATAAATAAGAGCATTAGCGCATGACATGGCAAAAAAAAAAGCGAAGAGAAACCCTTAACTTCTGCCTGCAAAAATGCAACGCTCGCCGCTTCCTCACATCACCTAAAAACCAATGGATGACCCACGACTGATGACTTGGAAGAGTTGAGTGTGAACAGTGGTAAAGAGGGAGACGTATGAGTGTAACTTTTTTCCCTATAAATTAATCTCTGAAACTCTAGTGTTCCGTTGAAAACGTTTAATCTCCGCTCTGAACGTGAACCACCACTCTCTCGGACCGTCTGTCACACCAATTCAATGGATGTCTACTTCATGATTTCTCGACAAGGTGATAAAATACTTGGAATGGACACCAAGATTTGAATTTCCAACGTTGGACGTGAACGTTGAACGTATATACCACGGAGGTTCTCCGTGGCTGGTCTATGTACTCACTGGCTCAGAGTTCAAGACGAAGCGATTAGATAAATGTTCCAGAAAATCGACAGGGTGGAGATTTTTATCGGTTTCGAGAAAGCATCGATATGGTTTGAGAGCCGAATCCAAGGGGGGTCTGAGAGACCCCTCTTAGATCTGCGCAGAAACGCGTTTTGGGGGGGTGGAACCCCTTGCACTTTTGGGTATGCTGTGTAAGTACACAGGGTAGCGAAGCACGCCTTTGGCATGGGAAACCGGGCAAGACCATGACATCGCGAAATCCGAAACTTGTGAAAATGTTCTACGCACCGAAAATCTCTTTCTTTTTGCGAAGGGTTTTGTGAATTCGATATCCGGCCATCTCACATTAGATCGGAGCTGTCACGAAAATCCTTTTTTTCCGTCATCATTATTCACAATTTTTTCATTTCAATTCCTAACGATCCCGGTTCATCCTCTCTGCATCTGAAAGAGTTCTGGTTGGTACGAAGGTCCCAATAGCCCATGGATGGATATGCGGGTACTTGTAGTTGATAACTCCTTTCACAATGAGTATTTGTGAATACTCCTTTGTGAACGAGTTTTTTAATCATAGACACATTTCCTTGGAGATCTTCGACGACCGTTCCTTTATTGCATCACCTGAGAGAAAAGAATTTACTTCAGCTTCTGACGAAGGATTTCTACATCTAAGCAATGAGCATTCTTGGTCATCCGGTACGATGATTTTACGTCATTGTATCCATCCTCAAGAGATGGGGAGACCTGTTAGTCCTCCATTGGTTGAAATGAATCGTCAGACCGTCAAATGGTAAAAAATTTCCGTTAGACGCCGAACGTGAACGTGGGAGGTTGCGTTGGATCTTCGGCCAGATTCTCTGTTGGAATGGCATATTTTTTCAAGCGCCTGATAGCGTTTCGATCATGATAGGAATCTAAGGAGAAAGGATGCGAACGCGCTAAAGCATATCTGGGGATAAATTTTCTTCTAAGCGGTTGAAGCCATTCATTTTCTCTGTCTAGACATTTTGGAAATATTTCATGCCGTCGAGTCCTATAAATATTCTTTGAGAATGCGACAATACAATCCTTGCCACTGTCCTTTATATCAACTGCTGCTAAGAGAGTGAATGAAATAAAGGAACCTAGGAATATCATCGAAATCAACGAGCAGATCGGCAATGCATGTACGATGCTGCCTAGTTGGCTCTAACAAATAAGAGCAGATGTATTAAGGCTGTGAGAGATATGAGAGAGCGTGTGTGATCTGCCTTGGCCTTAAGCAGCGAGGTAGTGAGATCATCAAGGCCAAAGCGCCCGCTTTATAGTGGAACGTTTCGCTGACGTCATCACATGCGCAGGATTTACCCCCTCTCTCCGACCCCCTTGGTCGAATCCCTCTTGGCCTTTGGTATCTGAGTTGGAAAAAAGGCCGAGGACTCGTCGAGATCGCACGCATGGATACATGTAAGGGTGCAACAAGTATACAAATTCACGCGTCGAGATGCGATCGTTTCCGATTTCCAAAAGAAAAATCTCTACCTATTGGAAATCGGACCTATCTCTTGGATTTATTTTTTTTGCTTGCCCTTTCCACGGACCGTTCCGAAGCCGTACCTCGCCTTCTGGGACCTGGAATTGTAGAGTGGGCCACTCGGCTCATGCATTTTTCGGTTCGCCACTTCTCCTTTACTTTTTAATTCATCTCTTTGACCCTCTCGTGATCCCCCATCCACGAACACCGAGACCCACCTGTCGAGAAGCGGGGATCTACGAGACTCGATGGAGGACTGCTCCTGGATCGATACCATTTTTCCCGATCCTCTTTCTTCTTATATCGGTTCGGTCGTTTTTATTTTCAGTGCGGCGGTCGGAAGTAAATCCCCAGCCAAGTAAGTGTACATTTACGAAAGTATCGGTTCGGAAGAGACTGTGGACTCTGAGACCTTGGTAGATAGAAGGGATATACCGATTTTGGAGTCCGTGTGTGGGTGTGAATGTCAAAAACTGGGATGGGGAGGGAGGGGGGAGGAATTCTATTGAGAAAGGTGATCTGCACTAAGAGTAAGGCACTTTCGTGCCTTGTAATCAACAATTTAGGGGAGAATCATGCTCTTGCACGCCCTCTTTCGCCTATCTCCTCTCGTTCATCCTTTTATGTCGAGAATAGACGGCACAAGGAAGGCGAAGAGAATTCCAGGTTTCACTCATGCATGTAAGCCTTTCATCCCTCAGAAGTTACTCTTTTTTTCGTTCTTCCCGAGAACGTTTCGTTTGTAATCTGCACTCGCCGATTTTCTCCCGCTTTTCATCCTTGTCAAAAACTTCAATCTCTTCTTTAGAACTTTTGAGCCTTTTTTCCCTTTACAGATCCGCGCTCGACATCTCATTTCACGATTCCGAGAGATTTCCTTCCATATTCGGGCAGATTAATTTAAACTTCTACTGCATTGTTGCCACGCGGAAATTCCCTTTGTATGCAATTTCATGCAGGATTCATGTACGGTGTCGGCAAAAGTTTTTTAGTTAAATAATTAATTACTCTAATCTTTATTCTTCCTTTTCTATTGGTGATTTCTCTTTATATTTCCTCATCAATTTGACCTTGAAGCTTCTCTCGGTTCTGCAATATAGCAACAAATGTCCCTGTTCCACGTTGTACTTTCTTGGTGTCTGTTTTGGACAAATAATACAATCTCTTCAAATCCATTTAAATTAGAGTATTTGGCAATTTTCTCCATGAATATTAATTCAAGGACACTCATATTCTTGAAACATCGACCAGTTTAGAGGCACACTGAAACGAGTTTGTGTAAAAGTTTTCATGACGATCGCTGAAGCCTTCTTGGTGTTGCGCTTCTGGGCGATGGGTACGTTTATTTAATTTCTGCAATTACATCACAGTAGTATTTTCTTTTGCGTTACAATATTAATTCTCAGACTGAAAAAACCTCTGCCCATGATTGGCGTTTATTATGTACTTGAAGAGAAAAAATGTATAAAATGAATTATTCTAAACTTTTTGTCAACACCGTAGCCTCGTCTTACGTCTGAGGATTTAGCCGTTGCCTTACATCTGAACATTTCGATGAAGTGTTAAGACTTCTTAGGGTTTCGTTGTACTTCAACGTAACCATCTGACGTCTAAGTGATGTCTATATATTTGGACATCGATCAAAGAACACTTTTTAGTCATAGCTATAGAATTTGAAATCCTCATTTCCGGATGTCGACAGTTTACGAAACTGAAAATGAAGCTTCCCCCCGTTGCATCAACGATGAGACTGGGAAATTGCGTTCCTGGAATCGAAACCCCGGGAGACGAAAGAATCGATCCGCGATCTCGCAGCGTTTCTCGTGTTTCCATGCGACATCGCGATCGCGCGAAGCGATGTCGAATCTGCTGTTCGCGACAGACGGCAGTCTCATAAAAGCCAGATGGAGTCTGCTTGGTCGCGACGGGACCTCGTCTCGACTAGATGAGCCTCCCGCTGGGATTCCGAAGATTAGGCCTGCAATATGTTGAACCGGATGCATTATGCATAATTCATACCAGCACTCTGCAACACAGTCGGAACTTCTGGGGTTCACTGATGGATGAGTGGCTAGTTTCCTCAGCAATTATTCGTTTGTAAAGCGAGAACAACGGGAATAAAGACGGAGTTGGAAATCCGTGCGATCGGTCTTCGAGAGCGGCTGAAAGGAATGAAACCATTCAGCAGGACTGTTCCGAGAATAGACGCGGTGGCCCTTTGCCTTCTCGGAGCTTAAGAGGCTTTTATTCTCGATGAATGATCCGCGCAGAGGAGACGAGTCATCCATTTTTCTCGTCTCATTCTATGACTACTTCTAGCGAGGGTAGACGAACGCAATTCGCCTGTTCTGCTCTCGACTCCATGTCATCCGTGCTGTGATCATCTGAAAATTTCCCGATCACCTCGGTCGTTCTCGACTGAGATAATCGTCAATCGACAAGTGCAAAGGGTGTTTGAAAAGTAATGCCTGTTTGGGCATAACTTCTTTATTTCAAATTTTATGAAAATAAAAATTTGACACCTTGATAGAGGTGACAGAGGAACAATTGTCTACTTTTCTATGTAATCTCCATTTGCAGCTACACATTTGCGCCACCGTTTAACCCAACGTTCAAATCCTTTTTGCAAAAATCCATATCCGTTTTCTTCATCCACTCCTTTAGAGCAGCCGTAATGCCATCCGCACTATCAAATCGTCTTCCACGCCTCAAGTGATTTTCACTTCTTTGGGCCAATGAAGTATGGTTTGCATGGAAGACGATTTGATGGCGATGATGAAATTAAGGCTACTTTAAAGGAGTGGCTGAAGAAAACAGATATCGATTTTTGAAAAAAAAAAAGGATTTGAACGTTGGGATGAGAGATGGTGCAAATGTGTAGCTGCAAATGACGAAGTGACGAATGGTGAAAACTCAAAAGATGAAGACAATTTCTTCTCACCGACAGAGTCCAAGAACGGATGAATGAAAAAAGACGTCACGGCCAGAAAATGGGACGTCACGAGAAATTGGACATGTGGGAAATTCGCGTACATCGTCGCTCTAAGACGATTCTCATCTTAGTGGGTGCTACCATCAAGAAAAGAATGAGGCCAAAATTGGAAACAATGACGAGTGACGGGAGACTCAAATTGAATTCCCATCGCTGTCATAAGATTTTACGGCCCCCGCCAAATCCAATTTTCTCCAAACAAGTCCACAACATGAGAGCTCACGAAGATGAAATCGATTTCAGAATTGGGATTCATTCCATTTAGAGACCATTGAACTTCAACCTTTATTCAACCGTTGAACTTCAACGGGAGTCCATTGGACTCCCTACGACATATTTTATTACAATACTCCTGGCTATTTTTTCAAAAGTTAAAAAATTGAGTATTTTATAGACAGTTATCTATAGATCAAAAAACATGTTTTTAAAGTTTTGATTTACCTTCCGATGACGGAAATATTTTCCCTTACATTTTTGCCGGTATTGCGGTCATTAGAACCCCACGTTATTAAAATGTCACTTGTGTGAACGCATGATTGACATATTGCAGGAGTGGAACACATGATACAACATACATGATTAATTAACATGATAAAACATGTACAGTAATTATTACAAAGCAATGCAGAAAAGAAACATTTCATGGGGTCACAAATGGGTCACATTTTCATCATCTGAAGGTTAAGGGGAAAATTCTAGCAATTTTTGCCCTTGCCTGTTTTTGTGATAAAAATACCTTGCCCGAATAAGGGTTAAACAATCTCGATAAAGGGAAAATCTGGAAATACAGGACGAACCGACTGAGACGACTGAGTCTTCGTCCGGAGTTCCTTTTCTTCGTGGACAGAAGAGGCCAAAAAACGAGAGGAGAATGGAATTTCACCAGGGAATTTCACTTTTTCACATTCAGTGAAGATGTTGCGAAAGGTCAACGGGTGCCGAGACTCATAAGTTAATTCTCAGTCGCGTGACTCAGCTGAGACGCCAAATTCATCACTGTATTTCGTTCTCGTGCAGATAAGGTTGAGGCGATTTCCGCTTTCACCATCGCGATAGCCCGCGACGAATTACTCGTCATGAAAAATCTGATGAGTCATTGGAAGTGGGACCAAGAGGGGAAAGAAGAGGGATCACATCAAGGCAGATGAGTGAGAATGACGGAGAGTTCGAAGGAGGAAAGTCGGAGAAGGAGAACTGAGGGATACCCGCTTCATTCTTCCCTCCTCCCCCTGGATTTCCCAGAGCGCGCATGGTCCCTTCATCGCCTAACACGCGACGTTTTACCTTCCCGGAAAGGACTTTATGCTTCCTAGAAACCTTTCTTCCGAGGGAGATCTTGCACCCGTCGCACATGACGCAAAATCAGATTAATTCTCGCAGGAGAGAAGAGAAGCTTTTATCAAGATGCAGTCAGGTGAACTTGATATACGATATCTGTGGCAAGGCTAGACATTTCTCTTGCTCCGCATCTTCGATCTCGTCTTCCTATTCCTTTCGACTTCATTTTCTTCGGCTCTTTTTTTTCTTCTCTCTTTATTTCCTTCTCTTTTCTCCCCCTTCCCCTTGTCGATCTGTTCCTCTCGCTTGGAAGCCTTGAGCCCCCCCCTCCCCGATATCAAGCAGGGAAAGGACGGGAGAAATGGACCCTCGTGCTTCTCTCGTCGTTATGCAGGAAAATCCGACCATGCGAACAGCCAGGTAGAGTAGAAAGACGACGATTAATATCCCTATGGTTAATCCCGATCGGATATTAGATACCATCCTCCCGCTAGTGAATCGGTCCTTTCCCCTTGCCGCTCGCTCGCCTTCGTAGTCGTCTGAGATCCCACCATTGGGGAAGGGACCAAGAGGGACGTTCCTTAGCAGAAGACAGGTCAGGTAAGCGATGACAGGACGATGTGCGTGGGGGCAGGGGACCACGTCGATTGGAATGCCTAGGGTTCTACTCGTTTGTCATCTGCGTATTAGTCGCACTTCCTCAGATCCCGCGAAGGACACTTCTTTCGTCGTGGTCGTTACCTCGGGAATAATATACGTATTCAGAGAGTCACTAATCTGGGCTATTCGGACTCTGATCATGAATTGGAAGTTGGATTCGCTCGAAACACGCTTGTTCGTGCATACATTATTTTCCTTCAAGGTTCAAGTTTCGATAGGGACGCCAGAAGGCGTAATCGCCCATTATGATGTCCGGTGTCAAGGTCGAGCGTTCTGATTTCGTAAGATATGCCTATCCCTCTTAAATATATATTTGATATACTGTATATATATTTTATTCCTCTTCG